TCTGGAAACAATTATGCATAATAAATGACCAAGGAGAGGGATTAAATGAAATTAATGATAACCAAATACTTATGTGGAAACCAGAAGCTTCAGGCAACTTTACCCTTTCATCTACCTATGAGGCTATGATCAAGTAAGAGAATCATCATCCGAACTTTTCTCTTACAAATGGCAAATGTAGTTTGCATGTTTAAAATGTTTAAAAATGAAAACGTTGTTTGAAATATTGTAAAAGCCTTTGTCATTGGGCCACATGATTGGGCTGTGGAGTTACATTTTGTATATGGTTACATATGATTATAAATTTATAACACTAATTAAAAGGGAGCAAACCTTATGGGGCATGTGTAGTTTTAATATTTCAGTTTTGATTTTTTTTAAGGAGTTGGAATAGAGGTCCATTAGAAAATGCAAGTTTGAACGCTATTTAGAAAGGAGTAAACCTCATGTGCCATGATTTGTGTTAGTAGCCCATTAATATGAATTTTTGAAGGAGTTCAATAGGGGTTCATGAAAAAATACACGTTAGGCAAATGTTTTAACGTATTGGGAAGTTAGAGATTGAAATTTGTCAGGTAGTTTGTAAGAGCATAATTGGTTTTTGTTTTAAAGATTTTAATAATAAATTCCCTGAAATAGAAACTAAGTGATGATAAAAAATTTAATGGTTAATTGAACTTGTAGTTTGGTTTTTTTTTTGTGTTCTTCTTTCAGTAGGGGTCTACTTTTTTACTTTGTGATCGTAAGAAGGAAGTATTATAGAATAAGTAATAACTTTTGCAAAAATGGTTGCAGATAAGCATATTAACTATTGTTCAGGTTTTTTGTCGAACACTTTGTAGGCATGAGATTTATTTTTTAAAATGCAGGAAGAAGAATGTGATCTCTTTAACCCCTTAAGTTGTTCTTTTGTAGCAGCAGTGCAGCACTCTAACAAGTGTAAACACCAGTAAATACCAGTGAACCTATATGTTGAGGATTTCTGAAATCCTCATTGAAGTCGTACAACAATTCTATAAAAGCATGCAGTGCAAAACATGAAAATTGATGTGCAGCTTTGTTAGTGCTTGTGTAAGGTGCAGATCGATGAATTGAAAAGGCAACGATACATAATATGAAAGGGGATTTATATCTAAAGAAGTAGATGAAGTTACGGAAATTGTCCTAAATAGGACTAATGAGTTCCTAAAAAGCACAAATAGGACTACTACTTTTTAAATTCCCTAAATAGGACTAAACATAGATTTTCTACCCTAAATACCCCTAAGAGTATTAATTCATAATGAAATGCTTTAATTCATAATAAAATCATAAAAAAACGTAAAAATATTTAAAATACGTAAAAAAATTATAAAAAATTTATAAAACATTTATAAAATAAAAAATTTAATTTTTATTTTTTTAATTTTTTTTAAAAAATAATAAAAAATAGTAAAAACCCATAAAAAATGAAAAAAATTATGGATACATTTCCCACCGCCATCCGCCGCCTCCCAGCACCACCACCTCCGATTGGTGAAATTTCTTCCACTTTTGATTAAAAAAATGTCATCTTTTTCTGAAAATGCTAAAAAGATGGCATAATTACTCTTCAATATGCCAACATTTTCATTGAATATGCCATCATTATGGCATTATTTAAAATGTTGGCATATTTTTCTCCGGTGATGGGAGCTGGTGGTGCTGGGGATGGCAGGGGTGGTAATGTTTTTTTTTTTTTAATTTTACGATTTTTTTTATTTTTTTTATTTTTTTTTAAAAAAATATTTTTTTTAATTTTTTTAAAAAATATTTTTATTAATTTTCTATTATCTTTTTACGATTTTTAGTATTTTTTTTCGATTTTTATTATTTTTGTATGATTTTATTATTAATTAAAACATTTCACAAGTTACAAGGGTATATTTGGCCAAACACACATAAATAGTCCTATTAAGGGAATTTAAAAAATGTAGTCTTATTTGTGCAATTTTGCCACTTTTTAGTCCTATTTAGGGAATTGACTCATGAAGTTATGAGCATACCTGTTCGTTCGTGCGAACACAGGTGGAAAAGGTTGGAAACAGTTCCAATTCTCTCTCTTGAAATGAAGAGTAATAACCTTAGGTTGCTGCGTATGGAGTCTACCACGGGATTAGCCAGATGGTCCGCTTGTATGCGCGATTCCAGCTCAGAGTCTCACCCCAGTGTACTCTTAGTTAGGGCAACTTTGTATCTGGTCCTCAGTTCTATTAGATACTACCTCCGTAACTTAAAAACCTTCCCATTTCAGAAGTAGGTAGATTAAGAATAGTGAAAGACGATATGAATTATTGAGGGTATGATGGGAAGATAGTGGAATAATGTGATGGAATGTAGGATAAATCCAAAAAAAGTAGTTGTAATAGTGTATTATTTTGAGAATTATTGAGGGTATGATGGGAAGATTTAGAAATGAGAAGATTTTTTTGTTACTGACGAAAAAGGAAAGTGGGAAGATTTTTATGTTACAGAGGGAGTATTAAGTTATCTGTTTAAAAAAAAAGGGAAATTTGTTGATTCAGTCCCATAACTTATAGCTATATCCGATATTGGTCCTGTAACTTTATAAGCTTGCAATTTACATCCCGTAACTAATAAGTTGGTGCAATTTTGGTCCTTTTCTGCCAGAACTTATCAATTTCGCCGGAAAAAGACACATCACATGCCACATGGTATATTATTTGGAACTCATTTGCTGACTCAATATTGGCCCTTAGCTGGAGTAAAAAACCAGAGTACGAAAGCTCTTCGCTGAGTGCGTGCACAACCATACCAAGCCTATTATCGGATCAGCAAAAGGGGGGAAGAACATATAACTCTACCTGAAGATTTCTCCTGAACTAAGTCGAGAGAGTGAGTTATTCTTCAAATTTGCTAGTAACGGCTCTCGATCAGACAAAAGTTTATGGAGTGTGATTGTGGTAAAAAGGTTTCTCTTCTATCTTCTTGGACTGATAACGATCCTGGAAGGAGGTTTCGTGTGTGCGCTAGAAGCAGAGTAAGAAGTTCAGTTTTTTAATTTACATTGTTTGCTTCTTTTTTTACTAAATAAACTAGAAATTTAAGAATAGCATTTGAATAATAAATTTGTTTGAAAATTAAAATGTATTTTATATTTTAAGCTAGGTTCTACTAATAAAATTACCATCTTCTATTTGTTGGGGGCATTTGATAATGTATTTTTGTGTTCAAAGCAGTAAAAAGTAAGTTAAGCTTCATCTTGTTATGATACAAACAGAAGGTTGCAGATTTTTTGAATGGGGGGACCCACCTATGTGCCATCGTTGAATGATGATAATTCCAGGATTGGTTAGAAGACTCAATTCAAAAGAGGAAGAGGTTGTAAAGTTGAAGACTAAAAATAAAAGGCTCATCATAGTTGTTGTGGGGCTAGTGTTTTTGCTCCTAGTCTTTCTCATGTTAAAGATGTGAGAAGTGAAGATGATGTAACATTTGAAATGCTTTATTCTTAAAACATGAATCCAGAAAGCTTTAAACTTCATTCAAAATGCTCCTGCTGCCACCAAGAAGAAATAATTTTTTAACTCTAGCTAAGGGCCAACATTGAGTCAGCAAATGAGTTCCAAATAATGTACCATGTGGCAGGTGATGTGTCTTTTTCCGGCGAAATTGGTAAGTTCCGGCAGAGAAGGACCAAAATTGCACCAACTTATTAGTTACGGGATGTAATCTGCAAGTTAATAAAGTTACAGGACCAATATCGGGTATAGCTATAAGTTACGGGACTAAATCAACAAATTTCTCAAAAAAAAACTTAGGTTGCTGGCAGTTCTTGCGTTTTGAAAATCGAACAGGTATGTTGAAGAGGCGTGTCCGCGTGTGCGGTTAAGAAGACTAGTCGTTTGACTACTACTTTGACGACGGTAATTCCAATCCTTCCAGCTTAGTAGAATGTTGGAGGCCGGTTTGACGGAATTTTAACGGAAAAAGGACCACGTGAATGAAGAGGTTTGGGATCATTTAGGCATAAATGGTCATAAAATCAAGTACTCAGCTAGCCAAACTTGAGCTTCATGAATTTCTTTTATCCTACAAAAGCCTATAAATTTATGAAACCTCCCTTATGGATGAATGTCAATATTTAGATTCTATATTATTCTGGTTTGCTAATTACTTGTTATGTGTGTTGGAATATAATGGTCCAAACCAGTAATTCAACCCAAAATATATCCCTGAGGCCCAAAGAGATAGCAGAGCCAACAAACGCTACGCCGAACAGTAGACTCCCGAACGGGCTCTTACCAACTGGATATTTCCCGCTCGATTATTACCGAACGGTTTGAATATAATATTTGACAAATAAGGAGCATCATTCATGGATGCTGATTAGATTAGCCCAAAGAGTTGATCGAGAAGTCTTGCAAGTACCACGGGGCGCATTTAATGCTGGAGTATGAGTGCACAAGTGGAAGAATGGGTGCTGAAGTGGCAGAGGGGTCATCCACTGAGGGTTGGCCACATCATCCAACCCAACTACCCATTTTAAGAAGGGAAAACTGTCAAATAGGTCCTCAAACTTTCATAAAAAAATCAATTGAGTCCTTCTGTAGGAGGTTCTGTCCGGCCGTCGCGACTTGGGGCAGTTCCCGGTGGAATTTTTTGATGAATTTTTTTGAGCATCTTATTCACCAAGTCTAGTTTACTCATACCGAATTTCAGCTAAAAATTCAATCGGGAGCACATTCAAATTAATTCTTGAAGATAACTGCGCATTTTTGTGTTCTCAAATTAGTTTGAATGCGCTCCCGATTAAATTTTTAGCTGAAATTTGGTATGAGTAAACTAGCTTTGATGAATAAGATGCTCAAAAAAATTCATCAAAAAATTTCATCGGGAACCGCCCCAAATCGCGACGACCGGACAGAGTCTCCTATAGAAGGACTTAATTGATTTTTTTATGAAAGTTCGAGGACCTATTTGACAGTTTTCCCTTTTTCAGAACAAATAGTAGCAAAACGGCTAAGTCCAAATGCCCCTCAGATATCGAACAAGGAAGTGTTTGCCGTTTGGGGCAAATAGTTAAGTCCTGCAGACCTTTCCAGACCGAACAGGGGATGAATTGCGTAGGAATAAAAGGCATTGTGTTAAAGGGAAGGATAAGCAACAAAAGCCACCTTTACACTTCGGCGCTACTGGCCGCGATTTACAAGCATGCTTCAAAAGCGTTAAAACGACTTTGTAATTACGAAGGGGAAAAAACCGAAACATCCTAATTCTACTTATCAGCATCCTCCTCCTCGGCATCGTTCTCATCTTCATCTTCCGAAGATATCACGTGCTTAACCCTTCCGTCTGCAAAAGATGTACATCACGTTAACAGATCAGAAGAGTTAGCATCCATACCAGGCAAAGGATATATCCAGCATATGCATATATGTTTTCCAGTAATTTACAAGGCTTTCGACAAAAACTAGTGTGCATATATCTGATAATGTGCATTCAGGTAAATTGGAATTCAAAATCATTGTTTACTGCTTCTGGAATCCAACTCCAAACTTAGCCTGAGGGTACTTCACGAATGCATGTGACAGTCTAACAGACCTTTTTGTTTGGTGAAGACGAATTGCCACATTACATGAAGCACAAGTAACTTTTTAAACTCAAAGTTGCATTTTTATACCCAAAGTTGCATAATTTCTCAAAGCCACAATTATGTGCTATCAACTACAATCCACATGGTGCTTCAAAAAAACAACTAAAATCCACATGGTAATGAATTAATGATGGCTGGTCTAATAAAGAAGCACATAAACAGGTATATGTCTATCAAAAAACTAAACATCTGTTCAACTATCATATGCTCGTCACTATGTTTGGCGGGTGAGACAGAAGACGGTAAAGTATTTACCTGTTCAGGTGCCAACCTAACAAAGCTCACGGAATGATCAAGCCCATTGAAGTGGTAAAAAGCTCTGGCTTGATATAGATTAACCTTTTCAGTAACTGTGTCTCTAGCTCTGAATGTTATGTAATATACATAGCCAGCAGCATATCCAAAGTTTGCCTTCTCAATAGCCTCAAGTTCCAGATTTGCATCCTGTAAGTATTAGAAGAAACATTAAAGAAACTATATTGGGAGCTGACAAGATAGAGAAAACACTAAACAATTCACATACGTTTTCAGCATTGTACTTGTCAATAGCCATTTTGGTGCATTTTACCAATCTACGAGAGGGCCCTCCCTTCAGGTTAAGAGACACAATTACGCCAGGAATTCCCCCTCTGGGGTTCACTGTGATGTCGCCAAAACCCTAACAAGCAAAACCAAAACTGTTAATTTCCGTAAAGAGTGAAGCAAAACGTAAACGGTTAAGGTGAAGATGCCATTACATCTGTTTCCATTATGATTTTGTTGTACTTCTTCACTTGCTTCCATTGTTTTTTACTTTTATAGTCACTAGGGCTTCCGGCATATTCATCATCACTATCATGTGTGGCGGTACTGTCATCAGATCTTTCATCATCATCGATCTCCATTCTTACATCGCTATCACTGGACACCTCACCTTGTACGTAATAGTCGCCGCCCATCGCGCTTTCATCTGCGCTCGAAACCTCTTCTTCCACTCTCCCAATGGCGCTGTTGCTGCTTCCATCGCTCAATTTGTCCTCCCCGGATTCTGGATTTAACATCTCCCCTACTCTGCTGTCCCTGCTTCCATCACTCAGTTTTTCCTCCACAGATTCTAAATCGGGCACATGGCTTACGGTGACGTTGCTGCTTCCATCGCTGAGTTTTTCCTCCCCATATTTGGGACTATCTTCAGCGGGTTTCTGATCCCCACAATGTAAGGGAAAGGTCTTAGGGATAGGTGGGACGTTCGTCTTGAACCTTTTCAATGGAGATTCACAGCAGTCCGGGGTTGGATCGTCGCCATGCTTCTCCATGCGAACTGATTTTTAACCGACTCTAAGGAATTTGAATGGTTTTAAATCATTATTATAGATTGAATAGATGAATTTGTTTAGATTTTACGGAGTATGAATTTTTATAGAATTACACGGAGTACTGAATTTATGATATTCTGTGGAATTTTATGGAATCACATAATTCTATGGACTTGAATAGATTCTTATAGAATTGTATGAAATTTATGATATTCTGTGGAATTTTATGGAATTCAATATCACACAATTCTATATCATAGAATTATAATCAAATTTTATTCGATGATTAAATTTTTATTTTTTTTAATACTCCGCAATGTTCAAGTCTAAATCGTTTTATATTTGATCCTTTTTATTGTATTGTTACTTTGAGTTCTTATATATTTTTAAATTATTTGGAGATAAACTTTATTTAAGTTCAAGTTATAATGATTTTACGCAATTAGAAATGTGTACTAGCTACTAGGTTACAACGGAGCGAGACAGGACGGGTCATGGGGTAACATCTAATGAACCGTGCGGGTCACGGGATAGGGCAGGTCCACCGAGTTGTGTCACGGGGCGGATCCGGGTCCTGCACTACCCGGCCCACCTCGACACATTCTCATGCCTACTGGTTATTGTTATTTACGGTCTCCATACGTCCAACTTCTTCCACCCTTTTTCACCCTTCTTATTTTTTTCTATTTTTCTTTTGTTCTTTTCTTGTTTACCTTTTCTTTTTAGGTAGATTCTATGGTACCCCAAATGTATCGTACCTTTGTCCAAATGGACCAATAAGAATGATGTAGTTGAATTATTTAAATTTAAATTAAAAAGCATATAATGATTTGGACCAACTCACGTGCCCCTCTTACCAGGGGCGGAGATACTAGGGGGTCAGGGTGGTCAGCCGACCCCGCTGAAAATTTAAGAGTATAGAGCTCTGAATTATCTTCGATTTGATATATTATGGCTCTCGTAACTCATTACGAGTAAAAAGTTATGACTTCTGCAAAATCAGCATTATTTAAGTTTGAAATTAGTAAAATTGTGATGCATAATATTAATTATATTCACAAAATAGTGTGTAATTCACTCGTTACTTACGTGACATGACTTAGGGACAGAGCAAAGACAACATATCTTACTACTACGAGTGCTTACTCAATAAATGATTCTTTTCTAGTAAAAAATCTTGATACTAAACCGAGTAAGATCGAAGAGAACCATAGAGTACTAGGGTAAGACAATGAGTCTCATTTGAGGTACTCAACTCAACCCGTATAAAACAAGTTTATAACATATGTGACATATACGAAGTATATTAACTACATATACTCTATTAGTTTCATTTAAACTATCATTTATCTAAGCTACATTCAATTCGGATATTGTCTAAAAATAATCTACCGTTTTGATTCTATGTAAATTTGATTTCGACCCCACTGAGTCATTTTTCTGGCTCCGCCCCTGCCTCTTACACTTCTTTTTAGGTAGATTCTATGGTACCCCAAATATACCGTACCTTTGTCCAAATGGACCAATAAGAATGATGTAGTTGAATTATTTAAATTTAAATTAAAAAGCATATAATGATTTGGACCAACTCACGTGCCCCTCTTACACTTCTTTTTAGGTAGATTCTATGGTACTCCAAATATACCGTACCTTTGTCTAAATGGACCAATAAGAATGATGTAGTTGAATTATTTAAATTTAAATTAAAAAGCATATAATGATTTGGACCAACTCACGTGCCCCTCTTACACTTCTACGGTACCCCCATTTTTTAAATGGGTACCGGAGTTGTCATCTTCTTTTTAACTTCTATCTTCCTTGGGTCTCCTGGTTGCCCAACTCACGTGCCCCTCTTACACTTCTACTTTTCCTTCTTATTTTTATATTCATCTTTTTCCCCTATGTAATTGAAAGCAAAAGTCATGCGTTTGGTGAAAAAGTTGACTGATATGTAAGGCATGTAAGTCCGGGACATATGACCTGGACAGAATGCCGATATGGCTAATGCCCCTCCTGTAAGTATATCAATGTATCACTCATAAATCCTAATCTCCTACGAAGTACTATCGTATTATGTAGAATTTTTTTTGTTGAGCTATTAGTTCTTATCAAAAGCTTTTATACGGAGTGTTACGTAGCCAATGGATATATTTATGGCAGACCAATGATAATAGAAGACTCATGTTGGTTTTGATATTCTATCTATATTATGAGGCCGTTTTGGCCGTTTGGCAACATTGTTTTCGGCTTATCAGCCAACTTTTTCACCAAACACTTATATTTTGCTTTCGCGCACTAAATCAATATATATATATATATAAAAGATGAACCTTTTAAGAGCATACAAAGCGCCACGTAATCCTGCGATGTCATTATATAAAACAATTATTTACTTATTTTTATACCTTTTGTTTTTATTAGATTCTATTTTTGATTGCATATTGATATGGAAATAAAAATCCTTAGAAATCCACCTTAATTAATTTTGTAAGCTACAAATAAGTAAAATAATTTTTGGTTATCAAAGTGAAACTCTAATAACGTTTATTGATATGGAAACTAATTTATATTAGTTTACTAAAAGCGAATTAAATAGAAACAAATATGAAAATTAGTTTACTTAATAATTTGGCACCTATTAATAAATTAGTAAGCATCAAATAAGTAAATAATTAAAAATGAAATTAAAAATCATAACCAACATAAAGTATATATATTTTCACAAGTAAATACGTTTAGCCTAGTCAAATAAGTAAATTTTTTGGGTTGTTTCTTTACTTTACACCTAAAATTTAAATATGCCTTCACTTTTGAAATAGATTCCTAATCCAAATTAGAATATCTTTATAGGTTTACAAATTCCTACTTTTATTTTAATAGAATGTTTTTAATTTGATTGATTTCAGTTCCAGATTAAATCAGATAAGATCAAACTTTAATAATTATAACAATAATTCACATAAAAAACAAACATCTAATAGACCATATTAATTCATACCAAATCAAACCCGAAATTTTAATTCAATTAAAAAGGTTCTTATTAATGAGTAAACTGTAAGATCTAACAATTAAGAAATATAGAATTTTTTTATTATTGGGTTCATAACAATTATGTTTACTTGAGATGCTTATGTAGAAGACCAATTTAACTTTTTTTCATAAATTTTTTTGTTTGTTTCACAAATGGAATATATTTCACATATATTTATCATGATTCAGGAGATTCCACCTGTTTAACCAGAATTCAATCAATTTCAGCAAAATAAGTTAATTCTATTTACTTTAGTATTATCAAACAGACTCTATATTAGACTAAGTTTTTTTTTTGTCATAAAAATGGATTTTATTGATATGAAAAAAACAGTACAAGAAAGGAAAAAAAAGAAGACACAGTACAGAAAAGAAATAAGAAACAGAAGCAAAGCTAAACCCAAGGAAAATCTCTGGACTGAGACCTAGTCCTCATGCTGTGTCGTCTCTTGTTCTTCTGAGATTTCCTATAAATCTTGAGTTGTGTATTCAAGTTTTCTGTTGGAATGTAGTTTCCTATATTAGACTAAGTTTATTTTTCTTTTAAATCACATTATATTTGATCCGATAAAAATTAAATTTCAAATTAGTTAAATTGCATACTGCCCGTGCATCGCACGGGCTTGAAAGCTAGTCGTGTAATAAGCAGAAAAAGTAAGGTTGAAGTTACTTTTCTGACTGTATTGGCTGAAGTTACTGTAGATGATCATTTTTAGCTATTTTTACATACGAAGTATAATTTTTTCTTTGTTTTATTAGTATAATATATTTTAAAAATAAATTTTTCTTAAATCAGCAAAATCAGCCAATGTAGCCGCTTCAGCAAGAACTTCATAAATTTCAGCAGTATCAGCCAAAACAACCTATATATCTATACTATATAATTCTATATCTAAGATCGAGTTCATGTAGGCATGGACTAGGCCAAGCCCGGGCCCCGATCCAAGATTGGGAGGGACTGGCCAATGGGGTTTTGGGATGAAGACCCGGTACCGTTCCAGGTTAAAATCGGGATCAGACCCGGGTCGGGTCAATTTTTTAATTAGTCTTTTCGAATTTATTCCTCCCCCACCCCCAAACCCCGCCAAAACATTCAGTCCAACCCACCTAGCAGTAGTGATGGCCTCGGTGCGGGCCACTCGACCTGGGAACTGGCCCGGCCCGGTACTGTGTGGGCCCGGCCCGGTTTAGGGAGGAACCCGGGGCGGTCCCGGGTGTGATTTAATTTTAACCGGCCCGACCGGGCCAGGCCTGATTCGGGCCTTTTTAATTTTTTTTTGGGTTGGGCTGAGTTTAAATGGGCTGGGTATTTCCGATGAGTTTGGGGGACGGGGATGGGGGGTAGGGGATGAAATAATCAAGAAAACCAAAAAAAAAAAGAACCGGACCCGGCCCGGCCCTGAACTGGTAGGCAACCGGGCCGGTTCCGGGCCTACCCCCAAAACTCAAAAAACCCGTCAGGCCTAGGCCCGACCCGGGCCCGGTCCATCACTACCTAGCAGCAGTCCAATGCCAAAAAATTAAAAAAAAATACGTAGTAATAATTGGACCCCAGCTGGTCCACTAATATCAGGGCTTGTAGCCCACCCCATTAACAACCGTTCGGGCCCCTGGTCCCGGTCCCAGCACTGCTAGGGCGGGCCCACACAATACCGAGCCACCGGGCCGGGGCTGGTCCCGGGGCGGGCCAACCCGTCTCAGCCCATGTAAGTGTTAATGTTTTCGTAGGCCCAATAAGAGCCACCCACAATCGATTAATTGAACGTTTTCTCTTGAAGAAAAGGGTGATGACCCCACCGCCAGAGAAGCCGCCTCAAAGAAGGCGGAAGATGAAATGGACATACGATGGTGAAATAAATGCTAGGGGTGGGCGTGGTCCGGTCCGGTCCAATATTTGGCCAAACCCGTACCCGTACCGTTGGTATTCAAACGGTCCGATTCGGTTCGGTCTTAGACCTATAACAAATAATGCCACTTTTTTCAAGTGTTTAAGAGAAATTAAAGTTTAGCCATTCTCTGAAAATCCACACATTTTATCAATTATCATATTCCCTCCGTCCCAAATTGATATGCAAAGTCAATATTTTTTTGTCAACCAATGTTAAAGTTAAATCCTCTTTATCGATAATTAATTCAATTTTTAACAATTAATTAATAATTAATAATTAATACCCCGACAGCAGTGGTAAACAAACTAGTTTGGCAAATTAGTGTGGCCAGGTTTGCATATCATCTCTTATAACATGCGAAGAAGAAGATCAAAATAACAAAATAAATGAGAAGGAAATTGTAAAGATCAAATCAACGAAATAAAAATGAAGAAAATAAATGCAAAGAAGAAGACTAGAAGAGGAAGCAAGAGAAAATGGAGTTTTTTCCGAGATTAATGCTAATTAAATAAATATTTACCTAAATAAGGTTGGGTTAGTAATTATTCTCAGTCTACTGCTACCCTGGTTAACCAAACCCCATACGCGTATGGTGATGGAAGTCACAAACTTACGTAGCAATCAAAGAATTCAAGATGGGTCCCTCAGAGTTATAAAAACCAATTTTTCTTTAAATAGCTATAACGTTTTTATTTTTTATCTATTTTGTATAAAAAAAAATAGATCACAATTCATAATTTTTTATGACCTTTTAGTTGACACCAATATTGCATATGTAATTAAAAAAAAAAATTGAAGAGCACCGGAGCCCGTTTGGGAACTCTTTTTTCCTTCTTATCAATCTCATCAACCAACTTTTTCACCAAACACGAAGAGGCTGTTTGGAGCCACTGTTTTTCGGCTTATCAGGCTTATCAGCCAACTTTTTCACCAAACACATCATTTTTGCTTTCGCGCGCTGAATTGTGTAATAAGCAGAAAATGTAAGGTTGAAGTTACTTTTCTGACTGTATTGGCTAAAGTTACTGTAGATGACTATTTTAATTATTTTTATATATAATTTTTTCTTTATTTTATTAATAAGATATGTTTTAAAAATAACTTTTTCTTAAATGAGCAGAATCAACCAATGCAGGCACTTCAGCCAGAACTTCATAAATTTCAACAGAATCAGCCAAATCAGTCGATTTTCGTGCTACCAAACGGGCTCGAAACTTTTGATTTTGCGTGCTTATTGTGCAATAATCAAAATAAGTGAGGTTGAAATTATTTTTCTGGCTGCATTGGTTGAAGTTATTGTAAATGTATATTTTAGCTATTTTTATTCATTTTGTTAATAGAAAATATTTTGAGTTTTTTCCAAACTAATGCTAATTGAATAAATAATTAAGAAAATAAGGTTGGGTTAATAATTACCAGACCAAATTTAGATTCTTTCTACGAGTTTTTATCCTTCGATTTGAGATTAAATAAGACACCCTGAGGTCATTTGGTAAATATGAAAGTGACTGAATTGATTGATTCTGTTAAAATTTGTGAAGTTCAAGTTGAAATGACTATATTAGTTGAATTGGCTTATTTATTAAAAAATAGTTTTCTTACAAGAATATTACTAAAATAAAACTTATTTACATAAATATGACTATTCATTACTACTCCGTACAACGTAGTGTTGTGGTAACTTAAGTTCAAAACCTAAACATGAATTATGATGATTTCATTATTATTCTAGTAAGTAGTCATATTTTTGTAAAACATCTTTATTTTGGTCATATTTATGTAATTATTTCTTAAAAAATTATACTTATAATAATTTCTATTAATAAAATGGATAGAGATAGCTAAAATGTAACTTCACCCAATGCAGTCAGAAAAGTAATTTCAACCTCACTTATTTTGAATATTATACAATAAGCACGCAAAATCAAAAATTCTGTGTTTGATGAAAAGTTGGTTGATAAGACTAATAAGTCGAAAAAAGGAGTCCCCCAAATGGTATCTATATACTCTTCATTTTTTTAAAAAAATTACATATGCAATATTAGTGTCAAATGAAAGCTCATAAAAAATTATGAATTATGACATATTTTCTATCCAATATAGAGCAAAAATAAAAGAAGTTATATCTGTTTAAAGAAAAAATGGATTTTATAATTATGAGGACCCAATCTTATTGCTACGTACATTTGTGGCTAACTCCGTATTCTTAATGTTGAGACAGCGTACGGCTTTCTTTAACTAAGGTAGCAGTAGATTGAGAATTATTATTAACCCAACCTTACTTTGGTAAATATTTATTTAATTAACATTAATTTAGGAAAAAACTCGAGAAAATGAGAGGAAGTAAGAGAAAGCCAATGACACCAAAAATTGAAGGGAAAAAAGGAAAAAGAAAAAGATATGAAGATACCAACTCCAATCTCCAACCGGTTAAAGAAAATCATGTTCGACTAATTTGGTTGATTAGATCCTTTTTCACACGTTTATATCATTCTTTTTTAGTACATGAGTTTACATTAAATTTTAAAAATACTAAAAGGTTCTATTAGATCCTTTTCTCAAAAATAAATCCAGGATTAAAACTTTTACATTTTAGGGCTTACATTTTCTCTTTACAACCTATTTGTGAAAAAAAATCCAATACCCTAATTTAGTCCTGGACTCGGGCCAGGTGGCATGACCCGGAACCGGCCCGGGACTGGTACTGTGCTGAACCGGCCCGGTGGCCCGGCCAGTGACCGGTCCGGGTAGGCCCGGCCCGGGGGGTTCCCGGTGCGGGCTCGGGTCACCCAAAAGCCAAACCGGCCCGTCCGATTCAGGCCCGATTCCGGGCTTTTTAATTTTTAATTTTTTTTCCAATTTTTTTTAACTTTTCGGATTGGGCTGAGTATTTTGGGCCATTTGGGGTGGTTTGGGGTGGGGGAGTTAATTAGGAAAAGGAAAAAAAAAATGACCCGAGGCCCGGACCTGACCCGGTGGCTACTAGGGCCGGTCCCGGGCCACCCTAGGCATGGCCTCGGGCCGATTCGGGCCCGGTTCAGGGCTGGGCCCGGCCAGTTCACGGTTCAGGATATGGGAGGCCCGTAATTGGCCCCGGTAACCCCGGGTCCGGTTCGGGCCGGGCCGGGCCTCGGTCCAATCTAATTTTTTTTGGCTTCTCCTAATTAACTCTCAACCCTCCCCCCTCACCCCCAAACCACCTCAAATGGCCCAAAATACCCAGCCCAACCCAAAAACTTAAAAAAATTTCAAAAAAAAAAATTAAATTTGGCCCATACCGGGCCCGAACCGGCCGGGCCGGTTCACCATTCCTAGGGCCCGAGCCTGAACCGTATGACTAGCGGGCCAGGTCAACCCGAACCGCCCTATGGCCCGGTTCCCGGGCCGGGCCGGTTCAAACAGTGACCGGTCCGGGCCGGTTCCGGGGCGGGCCGCCCGGCCCGAGTCCATCGCTAGGCCCGCCCCGGACCCGACCCAGCCCGAATCCAGCCCTACCCTAATTGAATCGAAAGATGATCGAGACATCCAATAGGACTCGGTGATTTCAACAAATTGCTAGGACACAAGGATAATACGTAGTATCATTTAGAGGAAACCAAATCCTCTTCTGCGCAAACTCTGGCCCATTCTAATTGAAAGGCCAATCCCCTCTTATACTTAAACAACCCGGCACGTTTAATTTCAGCTGGCTTCTCAATTACAGCTTTTCAATTGAAGTTAAAGGTCAATCCCCTCCCGAATACAGGGGTTGTGATTACAAACCCATACAATTACCTATTGTGAAATAATTAGGAGATTCCCTCTGAATGGAACCGCTTTGCACAAAAGATACTTGGTCAGGTATCAATACAGACAGCAATAACATCCTTAATATTAATATGGAGTAAAAAATAAAACGGTGTTCTTGTCCCCAAACATATCACTTGCTCAAACCTCCATCTGCAAGAGAGATCATATTAACATATCAGAACACTTGGCTTTTGTCGCACAAAGAATATAAGCAAGCATTTGTTACAAGTCTTGCCACAAAAAAGGGCTACAAAACTATCTTGTATTTTATCCGATAATGTGCAATGATAGAGGAGATTTAGTTCCGGAAAGGAGATAAAACCTCTACACAACCAAGTGCCACATTCTCATACACAAAAACTGCACTACAAACCAGCAGAATCTGTACTCAAATACGTCCGAGACATTCACTATGATGTTCTCTCTACTTATATACTCCGTACCAATTTATATACACTGTTCATTTTCTTCTCTATATTTTTTTAAGAAAAGCTCTATTGCTTCATTCGTATGAACGACTGCTGAGCAAATTGGTTGTGAATTGTTCCAATTATCCCTTAACTTGAACTTAAATTACCACCAACAAACCACGCAGTTCTTCTTTACTTAAAAATACACTGCGGTTTGTGGCATTTGAGTAAGTTCTTGAAGGATCGTAACTCAAACTTAAGTGTTCTCTAAGACCAGCTAAAGGAAATTCTTAGATCCGCATTGCTTAGTCGATGGAAATTGCATGAAAATGTTAACTAGGGAGAAGAGAATAGAAATTCTTGGCCCTAACTTCAAATTTCCACAACTACAGACTTTCTCATAGGGCATTCAACTCGACTGGAATTCAAAATTTCAATTCATTGCTTACCACTTCATTCAAATTCATTGCTTCCTACTTCAGAATCCAAATCTCAATTCACAAGCTGAGGCTACATCACGTATCTGAGTTATGATGCCTATCGTGCCTTTTTGTTTAATAAAGGTGTATAGGTTTTATTTGTATTAAAAAACATGTTTTACAGTCACATTAAGAGATTCTAGCTTAATTATTAAATATGAGTTTTAGATCAAAAAACATGTGGAAAAGAGGGGAGTTCGAGAGAGAAGCAGCATAAAATGGATGAAACTGCATTCTCTCTCGTCTCTTCCTAAGCTATTACTCCGTATCTTTCAAAGAAGAAAGCTAGGTACCCAGAAAGACCATATTCGCAGAGAAATTAAAGTAAACATGGTAACGATGGACTATTAAATAAACCAAAGCAGGCATAGCTTCCAAAAATAAGTGCTCACACAAATTTTTCTATTTTGTTTGGAACAAGGTGATATCTGAGATGGTACAATATTTTACCTGTTCCTGTGCCATCCTAACAAACAGCAATTCATGCTTAGACTCTGAAACGTAGGAGTGAAAGGCTTTAGCTTCATATGCATTCACCACTCCAGAAACTGTGTCTCTAGCCCTGAATGTTATGTAATAAATATAGCCAGAACCCATTCCAAGGTTTGCCCTCGCAATCCCTTCAAATTCCAGACTTGTGTCCTGTGAGAAGGGTAATAATAAATCACCAAAGTATTAGAACAAAGCATAAACAATTGTGGAGAGCTGACAAAATAGAGAGCATATTGTTGAAAAAATAATGCACATACGTTTTCAGAGTTGTACTTCTGAATAGCCAAGTTGGTGTATTTCTCCAAATTAGATTGGTGCTTTCCAATCAATTTAATAGGCCATATTCCGTTAATAACCGCTTTTGGTATAACGGTGATAGCACCAAAGCCCTAAACAAGAAAAATCAAGCTGTTAAATTAATTAAGTAAGAAAAGGGGAAAAAAGCGCAAAAAGATATGGTGAAGGAGCCATTACATCCGTTTCCGATAACAGTCTGTTGTACTTCATTCCTTTCTTCCAATCCTTTTTACTTTCATAGTCACTCAAGTTTCCAGCATAAGAGTCATCACTGTCATAGGTGGCGGTACTGTCGTCAGAGGCTTCCTCATCATCGTCCTCCAGCGACATATAGCAGTCATTATCAGCGTAGATAACTTTTACTTTAAACTCGCCACCCACCATTTCTTCATCCGCACTCATCTCCTCTTCCTCGCTCGGCATGGTGATGCCGCTGTTTCCACCGCTCAATTTTTCCTCCACAGATTCCGGATCTGACACATGACGCGCGGTACTGTTGTTGCTTCCATCGATCAACTTTTCTTCCCCAGATTCGAGACTAGCGTCCGCTGTTTTCTGATCCCCACAATGTGAAATGAGGGTCTTTTGCCTTTTCGAAGGGGATTCGCGACTATCTGGAGCTGGATCCTCGCCAATCTTCTCCATGACGAATAACTAGATGGATTCCGTAGACTAGGGATTTGGCGGGCACGAGTTCATGCTTTATACAATACTCCGTAGCCCACGCATGGAATAATGGGGGGGAACTCATGGGAATGTCCTCCCCAAGGGATACCGTTATCAAGAAATGGAGTATCAAGACAGTGAAGTGGAGTATCGAGAAATATTTTCGAGTGGGCTCAAGTCGCGTTACAACATAATCACTAAAAGTTATTCACTTTGCATAAATAAACAAATGTATTTTGAAGTGGAGTATCAAGAAATGGGACTAAAAAAGTTCGAAAATTCCAAAATAGGACTATCATGTTTTTATTCTCAAAATAGGACTAATTACTGCCAAATTTGGAAAATACTGCCATGTTTGAAGTCTGGTACTGCCAAAACATGGCAGTAATTAGTCCTATTTTGAGAATAAAAACATTGAAGTCCTATTTTGGAATTTTCAAACCTTTTTAGTCCCATTTTGGGTAATATCTCTTTCTAGAATGTCATCATTCTGGAAAGAGCGGACAAAAATATATCAAACCGAGATTTAAAAAAAAGGTCAAAATTCGGGAAGGGAAAGAGTTGAGCTTGAGAATTTGAGGGTTCGACTTTAGATTTATTTATTAAAATTTTGAAAATTGAAAGTACTTTTAAGGGAGTGTTTGCAATCACTTAAAAAAAACACTTCTCAACGTTTGGCTTAAAAAAGCACTTATTTACCAAACACTACCAATTTTTACTTTTTCTCGGCTTGCGTGTCAAAAGTGTTTTCCCCCTTTCTATTACACAAAAAGCACTTATTTTACCAAACACTATCAACTTTTACTTTTCAAAATCACTTTTTTCTCAAACACTATCAACTTTTTCTACTAATCACTTTTTCTTTACATCTCCAAAAGTGCTTTTTTTTAAGCAGAATCAGTTGCAAACCCTCCCTAAATACTCCAAAATGCTCATAGAAGCAATTCTTAGATGTTGTATGAAAAACAATTTCTCAAAACTCATTCTTATCTAATTTTATAAAAAGAAGTAATAGTATGATCAATTCCAAATACCCTTAATGAGTCGATGTAATTTATTATTGAAAAGTTTCACAAGAATAATCCAACTTTTTCATGCTTTTTTAAAATTAATCCCAAAAACATGTACTTCTAACATAATCTCAAATTCATATATAGTTTTTCATAATTCCATCATCGATCTGTAATAAAAAACGATCTGCGCCTGAATCCACTACATTCGTCGTCTTCACTTTTCATTGTAGAAGACATGAAAGAATGTTCATCTTCCTCTACACAAATCATCTTTGACCACAAGAGTAGTTTAAACAATTCTAATGGTCGACTAAGAATTTTTTACTTGGGCTGAAATTTTCTAATATGATCTAGTCTGAAGTGGTCTGGTTTGGTAAACGTTTGATCTTTGTGTATTTTATAACTGTTCAAGTCTGATCTAATCTGGAACTGAAAACGGTCCAAGTAAAAACATTGTAAAAGGAAGGTTGAGGAACAGGGACGAAGCCAACAAGGGAGGTGTGGTGTCAATTGACACCACTGATTTTTTTTCCCCATAAGTAGGTATATAAAATTTTTGAAAATTCTAAAATTGACACAACAACAACAACAACAACAACGTTCATCAAACCTTAATCTCAAAATATATTGGTGTCGGCTAACATGAATCGATACATGATATCACCACCAAAAGGAAAAGAAAGAAAATAAAGATAAAAAAATAAGCTAATATAAAAAGATAATATAAAACGAGATGAATATACCTAGAATGATAAAATAAAAAGGGCAAAATTAATGTTTATATATATAAGGATAAAAGAATAAAAAAACAAGAAGAAAAAAGATGAGGGGAAAAAATAATACGAGATCACCCCTCCACACGAATACTTGCCCTCCACCTTGGTCTCTCCAAAGTCATACCCTCATCCAACTCAAGAAGAAGCATATCACTTCGGACCCCCCAACTGAAACATAAAATTCTTTGTATAGGTGTATGTAATGTTTCATAAATTATATATTGATACCACTCCACTAATTAAAGAAATGGGGTTCAATGTAATATTTTTAAAAAATTGGAACACCAACTTAAATCAATTGAAAGCCAGGCAATTGAAAATTGCAACACCAACTTAAAACTGAACAATGAGTTGAAGCTCAAACACTATTGCAATTGGTCCAATCTTTTGATTTTGCTTTCACCATACACTTGATAAACAAATGAGTTGCCATGGAATTGGTTAAAGTTGCCAAGGAACGACAAATTTGCTCTTTTTGCTTTATGTGTTTATAGATTATAATATAATACTCCCCCCGTCCCGCTAAGATTGTCTCAGACACTATTCACTTGGTCAACACAAATCACTCTTAATCTTTTATTTTAAGGAAAATTGCACTTTTAGTCCCTGAAATAGTCATGAAAATGAAATGGCGGACCCGTATTTCTGATATTGTAAATGTCACCCTCAATTGTCCAATTTGTTATAAATGTGGTCCTTTAAAGAGTGAAATATACTCTCGCCCACATTGTATATTTCACACCTAAAAGGACCACATTTACAACATTTAGGACAATTGAGTGCATTTTTGGGAGTACGGGTCCGACATTTCATTTTTGTGACTATTTTAGGGACTAAAAGTACAATTTTCCCTTTATTTTATATATCAAATTTGATTCTGGTTTTTGCGTCTTTGTAAAATTTTTTAATGTAGTTTCTAAATGTGTGATTTTTATTTTCTAAAAATAATTTGAGTGCGTATAGGATAGGGATCAATTTGATTTATCGTTGGCCAAACATCGTAAGCCGAATTCTCTCAAACATAGTGAGACGGAGGTAGTAGTATTCTGCTTAAAAAATACTCCATAATACTTTGTTAAATTGACACCACTGACATTGGTTCTTGGCTCCATTCAATACCTATTGAGGAAGGTTGGGCACATTTGCTACCAAGTCAACTCTCACTCGTTAAAGATGGAATGGAGGAACATCCTCTCACGTCAACTCTCCCGTCAAAGACGGTCATGGGCTTAATTATAAGGAGTAGTAGATTTTACCTTTATTGTTTCTTGTTTCTTGTTTCGTTATTGGGAGGACTAAAAAGATGGAATTAGTCATGTAAATTTTACCTTTATTGTTTCTTTTTTATGTTTGATAATGATTATTTAAAAAATCCTATTAGGAAGGACAAGGGAAATGGTAGAATAGGAAGAGTTAGTCCTATTTTGGTGATTTAAACATTATACTCCTATTGTTGCAATTATTCTTTCATTTAGTCCTATTTAAGTATTTAGGGAAATCTTCCAAAAAAATTGATCTACGTCCAAATCCACTCCATTCATCGTCCTCTTCACTTTTCATTGTAGAAGACATGAAAGAAGTGTTCATCTTCCTCTACACCATTCATCTTTGATAACAAGAATAGTTCAATCCACACCAAAAGAAAGGTGTTCCAAGGACTTTCATCTCCCTCTTGAATCTATTCTAATTGACGGCTAAGGATGTTTTTATTTTGACGGAAATTTTCTGTCTGGTCTAGTCTCTAGTGGTCTGGTCTGTAAACGTTTAATCTTTGTATATTTTATAAATGTTCAAATCTGATCTGATCTAGTATGGAATGGAGGAACATCCTCTCAAGTCAAAGACGGTCATGGGCTTAATTATAGTAGAAGTAAATTAATATTGGAAGACCATAATAAAAAAGGTGAAATTACTCATGTCAATTTTACCATTATTGTTTCTTGTTTCGTTAATAATCAATCAATTTGTTACTGTATGGGTGATTTTCTACATGTTTAATCCTATTACGTTTTTGATCGATTTGAAAGTCTCTGTCTGGATATATACTTGAGTTAATTATCAAAATAGGACTAAAAGTCATTCAATTTGAATAATAATAAATTAAACTATGTTTCCATAGGACTAATTATGTGTGTCTTGGACAAATATACCCTTATATCTATTGGAATGTTTTAATTCATAATAAAATAATAAAAATAATAAAAATTCGTAAAATATACCAAAAAATTAATAAAAATATTTTGAATAATAATAAATTAAATTTTTAAAAAAAAAATTAAAAAAAATCAATTTTTTTTTGTCGCCGCCGCCTCTGCCGCCCCAGCACCACCACCTCTAGTCATTTGGGGGGAAAATGCCAAAATTATTATGAATTCCATATTTTTGGCATAATTCAGAATGATTTAAGATGGCAGAAAAAAATGTTGGCATTGCCAAAGAAAAATATGTCATGTTTTTGGCATTTTCCGGAAAAAAATTGAAGTTTGTAGGAAATATGGCATTTTTTTTAACGGTCGGAGGTGGTGGTGCAGGGAGGCGGTACCACCACCTCATGTCACCGGGGTAAAAAATGCCAAAAAAATTATGAATTCCATTTTTGGCAAAAGTCAAAAGGATTCAAGTTGGCAGAATGAAAATGTTAGCATTCTCATAGAGAAATATGCCATTTTTGTGGAATTTAAAAAAAAAAGTGGCATTTTTACACCGATCGGAGGTGGTGGTTCAGGGAGGTAGTATAGGCGGTGGAAAAGGTATCCATATTTTTTTTTAATTGTTTTATGGAGTTTTACTATTTTTTTTAATTTTCAAAAAAAAATTAAAAATTGTTTTTCTTATTTTTTATTTTATAAAAATTTTATTAATTTTTTTATTATTTTTCTACGAATCATTGAAATTTTTTCAGATTTATTATGAATTAAACATTTAATTATGACTTTTAGCTATCTTTTACTAATATTTAAAGGAGGGGTAAGAATGGAAGGAAGAAATGAGTATGTTTCCAATAGGACCACTATGATCCTATTTTGGAATAAAAATATAGCAAGTCCTATTTTGAGTTTTTGTCATAGTTTTAGTCCTATTTGAAGTAATTTCTATATATACTTCATATTGACTATCAATATTTTAATATAAACATTTTACAATAAAAAAATATTAGGACATGAAGTAAATTTTCCCTCTATTTTAAAACAATAATTAGGGGTCAACAATTTTACATTTTAGAGCTTACATCTTCGCTTTTGAGTCTATTTGTGAAAAAACTCCCATACCCTAATTGAATTTGAATCCCACGACACTGATGGCACTTAGTGCTTTCAAAGAATTGATG